AACCTACTCCCAACCCCAAAAATCGCATTTGAAAATATACCATTAATTCAATGGGAAGAATCATAAAAATCCAATTTTCAAGCTTAGGAATGGGTTTTACGCCCTGTTGGAAGGGTGTTTGTTAGGGTACTTTGACGAGATCTATCGATTGGACCCACCCATATTGCCCACTGACCCTCCCCTGATTAATTTCCTGGGATGTTGTTTGAATTTCTTCCCGGGAGAAAAAATAATTTCTTCCAGATTGCGCAAATCTTTGTTTTTTTTAATCCTAACTATATTGTGATGTACATTAAGAGTACTTAGAAGTACTGAAGAGTACTTAAGAGTACTTAAACCGTTTTTTTCTCACTTTTTTCCATATTTATGACTAAAATTCGAAATTTATTCAATATTTTTGGACACGGTCTTCGACAAAAAAGTAGCCAGTGTAAAAATAGACAACCTTTCTGAACATATAAATCCAAAATAAGCATGTTCTGACCACTTATTTGGCTCGAGATTTCACTTTCAAAAATCTTAACTCAAAACACATTGGATGTGATTTTGTTGGGTTAAGTGTTCAGGAGAGTTCTTTGTTTTTACAACGGCCACAATTTTGCCGAAGACAGTATCCAAAAAAAATGAATAACCTGCGAATTATGGTTGAAAAAGTGCAAAAATCGATTATTTTTACAATATTTTGTACTGGAGCAAACACCAGATGGCATTTTTTGGGTAAACGGATAGTCCCAATCGATAAATATTGTCGAATTAGTCTAACAAATACCCCCCATATGGGGGGGTAAAACCCACTCCCAAGCCCGAAAATCGCATTTGAAAATATACCGTGAACCGTTGAATCATTGAAATCCATTTTTTGAGCTTGGGGATGGGTTTGACCCCCCCAAATGGGGGGGTATTTGTTAGACTACTTTGGCAATATTTATCGATTAGACCCACCAATGTTGCCCGCCGACCCTTCCCTGACCAATTTACTGAGGGAGATAATATTTTCGATTTGCAGGTCCCCGAAAGAGGGTCAGAAGGCAAAATGGGTGGGTTTAATCGATAGATCTCGTCAAAGTACCCTACAAATACCCCCCCATTAGGGGGGTAAAACCCACCTCCAAGGCCAAAAAACGCTTTTCAATGATTCAAAGATTCATGATATATTTCAAAATACGATTTTCGGGCTTGGGAGTGGGTTTACCCCCCCCCCCAAATGGGGTAAGGAGCAAGGTAAAAAATCATAATTTTTTTAGTTTATACATAAATTTATTGTAATCAAATCTATTTGAATTTCAACAGAATTAATCACCCAAATGACTGTGCAACTTGGATATTCCTATTGAAGTATTTCTACACAATCGCCCAATTTCACAAACATATTACATTTGTCATAATGAAATTATTTTAGAAATAAGATCATATCCACAATTTTAACTATTTAAAAATAGTAAAAATGTTTTAACTTTAACAATCGTGGTGAATTTTAAGTTGTGTTAACACGGTGAGGATGGACCGAGATGGTATCCGTTTTCATCTTCGTTCCCAACCCTTTCATTTGATACCAATATCGATTATTTAGTGTTAAGTTGTGTTAACACGGTCAGGATGGACCGAGATGGTATCCATGTTCATCTCCGTTCCAAACCCTTTCATTTGATACCAATATCGATTATTTTGGTTTTAAGTTGTGTTAACACGGACAGGATGGACCGAGATGGTATCCATGTTCATCTCCGTTCCAAACCCTTTCATTTGATACCCATATCGACTAATAATGTCCAGAAATTATGTTTTTTCGTGTTAACACGACCATGATGGACCAAGATGGTGCCTATAACCTTTTCGGGCCCGAGACCTTTCCAACGATACCCTGCACTTTCGGATCGGTTCAGTGGTTCCAGAGATCATCGCGGACAAACATACATAGCAACAGATTTATATATATAGATATTGGAGTTTCCATAATTAAAAAAAACACAAAATGTTAGATTCAAAATGGAAACTGGTTCGTGGCTAGGGGAATTTCTCACGTAAAAACTATGAAGATTTTCGAAGATGTTTGAAACTGTGAAGATGTGGAAGTTATCGAAACTATGTGGATTTGTATAGATTTTATAAATTTTTTGAGATTTCAAGATGGCGGATTTTGTGAAATCCAAGATGGCGTCGGGTGATCTCGCCTGAACTGTCTTGTTTTCAACACTAAATATGCATGGATTTTCTAAATTTGGGCAAAACTACGTAGATTTCAGAAACTGTGGAAGATTTTGAAAGATTTCAAAACTATTTTCGATGAGAAATTCCCCTAGGTTCGTGGCAGAATTGCTTTTTTTTTTTTTAATTTTGCGGACCATACTGAGAAAACGTTTGCGTTCGAACAGAAAACTACACTGAAACAGAAGTCGATTTGACGATTTAACCAGCAAGATGAACAAGTGCGTTTGTAAAGTGAGCTCGTTCACTCCGTGTCAGCAGCTTTTGGACGAATTTAATTTTGCAAATGATGTTGTTGTTAGTGTAACGATACCCCCGCTTAACCAATATTACAGTGTAATAATTTCAACACTCAATTACATTTTTATTCTACGTTTTTGCAAACATGAAGTTTAAAAAGGCTAAATAACACTTTCGTATTAATTGCCGCTCCATGGTGAATTCAGAGTGTTGCCGCTCCATGGTGAATTTGTAGAGTTGCCGCTCCAACTGGATCGGCCGCTATTAATTATTGCTGAGGAATCAAGTGAGGAAACATAGTTTTAAATTTATACGGATAGCAATATTCTCGTGAATACGTGTGTTCGGTTGAGCTGTCCATGAGCGAAGAATGAGTTGACACAAGAGAAACAATCAAGTGGCTGTGTGACGGCGACAAGTGTGCTGCTCACGGACACACTTGCATTCACGTCATTGTGTGTGTGGCTGACACTTCTCGCCATCGCACGGCGAATTTAAGAAATGACAATTTAAATTCTATCGTTAGGATGTGCTCGCCACATGGCCCCGCTTCTAATATTTCAGCCGATCAGACAGTTTGAGGCGTCGTCCTGGCTGGAGTATCGATGTGTGTGTCGATACTCCGCATACTAGTTTTTTGAATAAGAGCATGGTTCGCGACACTTCGTTGCCTTTTCATTGTATTCGCGATGATACCAACACACACCGTCGTCGCTCTTTTTCTCACTTGCAGAGCCTGCACGTTTCCTACTTCTCGAACGATTGCGTCCGTTATGCAGCGTTGAATCGCGTCGAGATTTACGGTCGTCCGAAGAAAACACGTGTTTTGACAACTTTTCGATTTGTTGTTGCAGCGATTGCAATGATTTTTCAAATGAACTACCGTTGGAAATGCTTGAGATCGACGATTTTTCCGAAACTTCCCACATATTATCTGCCATTTTAGCCAAATCATCCAATTCGTCTTTGGACGCTGCTAACACCGACCGAATTGTGTGTGGCAAACGTTTAAACCACAACTTTTTGATGAATTGTGCATCGTTCACTAGCGATTTGATTTTGTGTAATGCCTGTGATGGTTTCATGTCACCAAGCGGTTCACTTGAAATCAACTTTTCGAATTTTTCGGTGGCCGACTCGGAAAAAATTGCAATCAATTGTTTTTTCAACTTCTCGTAATTTCCATTTTCGAACGGTTTCATTATCATGTCTTTGACACGTAGCGCGACCGAGCTCGTGAGATGTGAAACGGTGTTGACATATTTCGTTTTTTTTCGATGTAATTTGCCGCGAAAGAAATTGTGCGTCAATGATGGCAAACCACAATTCTGGATCAGCTTCAAAAAACGGAGTTAATTTTATCTAAGACAAGATTTTCAACGTCAATGTCAACGGGAAGGTCAAGAACATCTCAATCGACCGACTCAAACCGGCATTCGTTGAATCGCACTCAGAGACAATGAGAGAAACCACCGACAATCGATCGAATCAACCAATTGTCAATCAACCAGCCATGGCTACGCCGAATGTTCAGCCAATCACAACACGTTCAGGATGACACCTCAAACTGCCTGATCGGCTGAAATATTAGAAGAGGGGCCATGTGGCGAGCACATCCTGAGGATAGAATTTAAATTGTCATTTCTTAAATTCGCCGTGCGATGGCGAGAAGTGTCAGCCACACACACTCGGATTCACTGACGTGAATGCAAGTGTGTCCGTGAGCAGCACATTTGTCGCCGTCACACAGCCACTTGATTGTTTCTCTTGTGTCAACTCATTCTTCTCTCATGGACCGCTCAACCGAACACACGTATTCACGAGAATATCGCTATCCGTATAAATTCAAAACCACGTTTCCTCATTTCATTTACTTTTTTTATTTGAATACAATTTATTAGTTAAGCAATTTTGTTATCTAGTTTTATCTTTTGATTTCATTAAAAGAACCATAACTAAGGAAAGAACAAAACGTTGGTGTACCCACAAACTTTGGCTCCTTTTTTGATGAGAAGGTCGGCAACATTCTTGTGACCTTAGAAATAATTTAGATCGATGAAAAAGATCAAACCGATTCTTTATTTTGTGAAAATACTTATTCAACATTACCATATCTAGCAGCATAATAAAGAGGTGTATGATTGAATTTAGACATGACATCCATATTGGCGCCTTTGTTGATGAGAAGTTCAGCAACATTTTCGTGACCTTAGAAATAATTTAGATCGATGAAAAAGATCAAACCGATTCTTTATTTTGTGAAAATACTTATTCAACATTACCATCTATAGCAGCAAAATGAAGAGCTGTATGATTAACATGATTCATGATATCCATATTGGCGCCTCTGTTGAGGAGAACCTCGGCGACATTTTTGTGACCTGGAAAAAAAATTGGATCGATGAAAAAGATCAAACCAATTTTTTTTATCCAGCGAAAATAAATACTCAACATTACCTTTGAAAGCAGCTAAATGAAGAGCTGTGGAATTCAAATCATTTCCAATATTAGCGTTAGCTCCATTCTTGAGAAGCACATCAGCGACACCTCCGTGACCTAAAATAATACGGATCAATGAAAGAGATCAAATCAATCGTTTCTTTAATAAGAATAAACATTCAACATTACCACTGAATGCAGCTAAATGAAGAGCTGTGCTATTCGAATCATCTCCAATATCAGCATTAGCTCCATTCTTGAGAAGCACATCAGCGACACCTCCGTGACCTAAAATAATACGAATCAATGAAAGAGATCGACGGGATATCTGATTTAGTCAACCTTACCATTCATAGCTGCCAAATGAAGAGGTGTCTGATGCAAATTATTTTGAATATTAAGATCGCTTGCTTTACGGCTGAGAACTTCAGTGACGCTCTTGTGACCTGAAAAATAATTCAGATCGATGAAAAATTAAACCAATTCCCCATTTACCATCTAGTGAAAAACATTCAAGGCTGCACTGACGAAGTGTAGTAGACATCACACACAACTCTGACACCCGTGTATGTATGCTAGTCGGTTTTGTGTGTGAGTTGGTTGCGATGGCTGTATATGCGACGTTTGTTTGCACGATAGCTGTGTGCGTGGCAGTTGTATCGCGATATGCTTGTCTATTGGCCGAAGCATATTCAATGCTTGTTGCTAAGCAATACTAATGCGCATAGTACTCGAAAAGAGTATTCAAAATTACCATTCTTAGCTGCCAAATGAAGAGGTGTATTATCAAAATGATTCATGATATCCACACTGGCGCCTTTGTTAAGGAGAACCTCGGCGACATTTTTGTGACCTGAAAAATAATTCAGATCGATGGAAAAGATCAAATCAATCTTTTATTTAATGAAAACAAGTATTCAACATTACCATAGTCAGCAGCTAAATGAAGAGCTGTGGTATTCAAATTATTTCCAATATTAGCGTTAGCTCCATTCTTGAGAAGCACATCAGCGACACCTCCGTGACCTAAAATAATACGGATCAATGAAAAAATTAAACCAATTTCCCATTTAGTGAAAAAAAAGTCAAGGCTGCACTGACGAAGTGTAGTAGACATCACATATAACTCTGACACCCGTGTATACATGCTAGTCGGGTTTGTGTGTGAGTTGGTTGCGATGGCTGTATTGTGCGACGTTTGTTTGCACGATAGTTGTGTGCGCGGCAGTTGCATCGCGATATGCTTGTCTATTGGCCAAAGCATATTCAATGCTTGCTGCTAAGCAATACTAATGCGCATAGTACTCGAAAAGAGTATTCAAAATTACCATGGGAAGCAGCACAATGAAGAGGTGTCTCTTTCGTTCTAGTTTCACTATCAAGATTGGCTCCTTTGCGGATGAGAAGTTCGGCGACACTCTTGTGACCTGAACAATAACACCGATCGATGGGATAAAATCAGGTCAATCTTTTATTCAATAACAATAAGTATTCAACGTTACCTTTCTTAGCAGCATAATGCAGAGCTGTCTCATTAAAATTATTTCCAATATTGAGGTCGGCTCCTTCAGCGATGAGGTTTTCAGCTTCCTTCACTTTGCCTGAAAGAATATGAAAAATATTCATAGATCAATGAAACGGATTGAACAAAACATTCTTTTTTGTAAAAAAAAAATGCCCAAAATTACCAGCAAAAGCAGCTCTATGCAGAGCTGTCTCTCCATACATGTCTTTTTCGTTTACTAAAATATGTATGAAAAGTTTAGCATAAATGAGGTTCCCATTTCTTCGTTACAAGGTGCTTTGTATATGGAATTTAAGAGTTAAACTGGATAAATAAATGAAACTTCAATCTTACCGTTCCTCCCGGGCGGTGCTCCGCTCACATCCCCGATTAAAAACTGTGGAAATAGAATCAAAGTGATACATTTGGAATGGGAACAACGGATGAGATTAATGCATTATGTATTAATAACAGTTTTCAACTGTTTTTAATAGAATAAAAGTTTCCGGTGGACATTTTTTTGGAATAGAAGAATTTTTTCAATTTAAGAACTTGAAAAAAGGACGCTTTTCATTTTTTAAATTATTTCAGAAAAAATTATCACAAATTGTCCACGAAAAGTATCAAACATGAAAAATTTAAAAATAATCGACTGAAATGGTCGACTCACCTCGGATACCATCAAGCCAATGAGCAGCAGTGTGAAAGAACTTCGACTCAGCATTTTTCTAGCTTAGAACTATTAAAAGTTTACTATAAACGTATCAATTGGTAAGAACTGTTTGATGGACATGCGAATCGAACGCATCCTCTTATATACTTTTCAAGTGTGGCCACATCGGTGGGCAACACACTGTATGATTCAATCCACGTACAATGACGATTCTAATTAAAGCCCGCAAAATATTATCGCACACATTTTCCAAGATAACAATGTCAAACAATTGGTGGAATTACAATTCCACCTGTGCTCGTGTGTTTAATTTCGCGTTTCACATTTTCACGCATTAAAAATATCAGATGTTTACATTTATTCTTTCATCACCTTCTTTAAACTACAAATTCAATGTAAAAATTTAGAAAGTAAATATTTTTCACGCTTGAAGGGTTGAGTGGTGCTACTGTGGCACGTGGCTGTTCAAATTTAAAAATTTTCACATCTTCGCTGCATGCACAAAACACATTCCGTTTCAAAGTCGATCCAAAGTTGACCACAGATCGACCTTCGCTTACATGATGTAAATTAGAATGTGAATGATCAAACGACATGACTTATGCCTTTGCGTTACATTCAGGCTCACATGCCATGGTTGCGTTGCTTTGTTCAATAGCTACAGTGTTAGTTGATGCAAGGATATA